AAAGAAAGAGGGAAAAAAAAAAAAAAAAAAGCTCACCACCACGGGACCGCAGGTGTACTCAGGATGTTGCATTAAAAAAAAAAAAAACCTGCCGCACTGATTGCGAGTGGTATACTGTTTGTCATAGTCGTTGTCTGGACTACCGTCATCCTCCGAACGCAACGCACCCTATTATGAATGTATACAAGCTGTCTTTCCGGTTTGATGCAAGCATAATGAGGTGGCGTTGTGCTCGGGGGAAGTAGGCAGTTGCAATACATCACCAATACAGATTTATAAATCATAAATAAATCATAAATTAGTCAAAATAGTAAATATAAAATTATATAATAATTAAATATTTCAGTATTTCCTTAAAAGCAAAAAAAACGGATTGCCTTTCGCTCTGCTTTTGAGAGATCCAGGGAAACTGCCAGGCTCAATGAAGCGCATGCATGTTCACACTACATAGTGCTTTCCTGGCTGTATCTGACCGGAATCCACCCCCTCACCTGGATGCAAATGACGTCCACATTCAGTCCAAAATGTGCTAGTGGGAGTGTGCACCGTGCGGATCCAACCCGTTTCAAGGGCATCACCAACCAGGTCCGAAAGGCTTCCAAAGGGCAAGGCAACTGACTTGGACAGATGGGTCAGCCTGTGCCTGTCTATCTGACAGACAAACACAGACAGAATGACCTTCAGATAAACAGGCGGACCCATGGACAGATGGGTCAGCCTGTGCCTGTCGATCTGACAGATGGGTCAGCCTGCCCGTCGATCTGACAGATGGGTCAGCCTGCCCGTCGATCTGACAGATGGGTCAGCCTGCCTGTCTATGTGTCAGTGACAGAAGGGTCGGGATGACTGACGGATTGCCAGACCGGCTGATCACCGTCTGAACGGCAAACAGAGAAGTGCAGAGACAAAGTGAGACAGATCAGGGACAGATAGACAGTGTCACAGGGATTGAAAGACAGATAGTGACTGATGAAATCACATACACAGGCTTGAGAGCTGACACCATCAGCAACGATTATGGCCAGCAAGTATGCCCTTTTCCTCTCTTTCCCCTCTTTCCCCTCTCTCCTCCCTTCTCCGTTCTAACCTCTCTGGCAATTGTGACAAGCTTTTGTTGAGTGGGAATGTGGGAGGGAATGTGTGAATCCCACAGTCGCCCGGAGCTCGGGGCTGGAGTTGGACGACTGTGGGACTCCCTCATTCCCACATTTTCCCACATTTTCCCACATTTTCCCACATTTTCCGATCAAACTCTGTGGCAATTGTGACAAGATTTTGTTGATGAGGAATGCCATTGTGTTCCCTATCTCTGTTTGATTGATGACTTCATGTGGATTCTGTGTGAGGAATGCAGCAGCATTAACCCCCTATCTCAATGGATATCCAGCAGTGACAAGGTTTTGCTGAGAGGGAATGGGCTGAGATAGGAGAAGGAAGGTCTAGTAAGCAGTAGTAAGAATTATCATAACCTGAACCCTAAACCAGCAAACAGGATGGACATTGCACTTCTGTCCGCTCATCTCATGGCTGCCTGCGAGGGACAACATTCTGTGAATATGTGTTCATTTTCAAATTGAAGAATGCACAGTCTTCGTCGTTTTATCTGAACAAAGCGTCTCATCGCCAGCTCTGCTGACAGCATACAGCGGGGAAGAGTGCCCTTACGCCCTTTCTAGCTGTCTCTGTGTGTCTAGATGTGTGTGTGTGTGTGTGTGTGTGTGTGTGTGTGTGTGTAGCTGTCTGTTCTGTCTAGTCTCTCCACCTGTCTGTGTGTCTAACTGTTCATCTCTCTCTGTCTGTCTACCTGTTCAGCTGCCTCTCTACCTGTTCACCTGTTCATCTGTCCGCCTTGCCATTTGTCTCTCCGTCTGTCTGTCTGTCTGTCTGGATCTTTCCACATGTCTATTCGCTCCACCCTTCTGTCTGTCTACCTGTCCATCTGTCTCTCTGCCACCTGTCCATCCTACCGTCTGTCTGTGCCTGTCTGTGCCTGTTTGTCTGTCTGTCTGTCTGTCTGCCTGTCCTTCTGTCTGTCTGTCTGTCTGTCTGTCTGTTCGTCTGTCTGTCTGTCTGGATCTTTCCACCTGTCT